CCCATATTCTTCCTTGTCGTGTTATCGGTTTATTTTGCTCCAATGTTTCTTCACCCAGAGCTCTTTTCTCCCGTATTCTTTCTCTCTGGTCAGCTCTAATTACGCCGCACGTACCTCTTTCCCAATGTTTTCTACTCTGATCCGTACTGTTTGAATGATTCCTTCGCCTTGGCGAGAGATATGTACTACTTTCTCTTTTATTTCACTAACTTTCTTCTCACACCAGTATGTGTAATGGGAAACATGCGCGAGCGGGAAGTGCATGCGCTATTGTTTCGCTCCATCCCGTGCGAGCTTGTGCGTGTTTGTTTGGGGGTTTTGATAGATACACTTCCATTATGTGATCCCCGTCACATGAGACACTCAACCGCCCACTCATAACACATACACACTGACGTTGATCGAGCGTTTGACATGGGTCTGTAGGCACCGTTCAGCATTGTACATAGATAGCACGTTTCATTACTCGCGCTGTCGGTTAACCGGCTGATAAACTACCACCCCTCCCCCCGATGGCTGGTTGATTGATTGATTGTTCCTTTTTCTCTCTCTCTGTCTCTTTACGGCTAGGTGGTTTTTAAGGTGTTCTTTTTACTTTTTTCTCTTTCAACTAGATTCATTCATCCTCTTAAACTGGCTGTTTTGATATACTCTTTGACCAGTGGTGGGCTGCTAACGGAACTATTTTATTGAAAGCGAATCAGTCTCCTGGCATTGTGTTTTGCGCGAATGCCGTGTCAGCGTTCTCGGTTACTTGGTCAGAGGTGTGCGAAAGGTGCTGGTAAAAAAGACGGTTCGTTGAATGGAGGCTTTTTTCGTCTTCGAACTAGAAACCGGCTTCCCATCCGTCTGATCGTACGTGCAGTTTTGTACTTGCAGTATTTCCATTGACACCGGTGATCATCGCGATCAAAGTGTTCGGGAATCAGGATATTCAGTGACTTCGTAACTTGTAACTACTCTATCTGGGTATTGGTTTTTCGCAGTGATGAAGCTACCGTCGCCAGGAGAATGCAACGAACATTACTTAACCGACAGATACTTTCTGACGAAAGTTACGCGGGAGCATGTATGATGGCAAAAACGATACCTCTGAGAGACTGATAGTTTCATAGATTTGGCAGTCTCAGAAAACAGATTCACTGTGAAACTTATCAGTTCAGTGAGGCTGTTCTTTCGATGAATGTGGTCGATTGTAATTTTTTCTACCAGCGAAATAGGATCAATTGTCTAGATAGCTGAACGAAGAGAGACTGCTTGACGCAACATCTTTATAGGGGGAACATGGTTTCGATTATTTCTTTTTCAGGCGACTGTGTCCCGGAGTAGATAGATTGAGTGAACTCCCGTTAGAAATAAGGCGGGGTGGGTGACTGATAAGATTGAAGTTCATTTTCGCTCACGAGGAGAAGGGGATATGATATCCGTTTAGAAACGGTTGATTAGCCGAGGCGCATGTGGTCCGGGATCCGCTTAGGAAGTTGAATCGACTCGTTTGTCGGGCAGGTCAGGTTGGATGACAGCCATCGTTGTCGATATTGCTTTAACGCTAAACGATTTTG